CCCTTAAGAAGAAAATAGTGATTTTGAAGATTCGAATATGCCTTAATTAGAAAAGGGATCCAAATGAATGATTTTTGATGTAATCAGAGGAATTGAGAAAGAAGACAATAAAACAATATTAACTTAAGAGAATATAGATATATAGATATTTAAAAATGATTTTTTAGCTAAAAGACATCAAAATAAAATTCGTTTTCAGCTTAAATTATGAATTTTAGTAAACATTAATAGAAAATAAATAATAATTATTTTTTATTTTTTAGATTAAAAGTTTTCTAAAATTAATTCTTAAAAAAATAAAAGTTGTAATGATGAAATCTTAAACTGACTACTAATTTTTTCTTGATGAATTAAAAATAAAACTTTTGCAGTTTATTATAGTTATAAAAACTACTTTTCGCATTTCCTCTAACCTTAAAAAATTTTAATCCATTTGAATGAATTGTTTATTCTTTACTTCAAATTATGAAATTCTTGATTGGATTGTAATATCTAAAAATTTCTTGACCAGAAACTATTTCATAATATAAATTATATAAACAAAGAAAGATTTCTTTTTGTTTTGATGAATAATCTAATTATTCAATTTATCCTTTTTTTTTTTCACTTTTAGATTAAATTTCTTAACTATTCTAAATCTATTAAAAAAAAACATATATTTGTAGATTAAATCACCGATTTCCTTAAATTTTACTATAATATGGAAATTTTTAGATTTATATTTAATTTTTAGTTAAAATTTAATTTTATAAATGAAACAAATATATATAGATTAATATAAAAATCGCAAAATAGTCAAAAATAACTAAAGAGTAGCAACATAAAATAATTAATAATATATAAACTTAATTATATTAATATTATGAAGACAAATTCTATTCAAGAAGTTTTTAATGAATTTTCTAATAATCAAAAAGTATACTTTTTGATTTACATTCTAAATCATGACACTATTTTAATTTCTTTATTTTAAAGTGATAACTTGATTATTAACATTTCTGTATATACAACAAAGATTATAAACATATAACTAATCAACATCTTTTATTGCTAAATTTTTTTGACATAAAATTACTTTCAATAGTAATTTATCACAAAATTATTGGGATCATTTTCACATTGAATCCATATTATTTTAATTATATTTAATTATTATTTTTGAGGGTGATGAATGCTTCTCAAGCCAGTAGTGATTGGGTTTTGGGGCGCATCTAGCCCTCTTGTGATTAAGAATATAGAATCGAACCAAAGAGAAAAAAAAAATAAAGTTTGAAGGGAAAGAAATGAACTCTTATTGAGAATGTTGGATCAATTTCTCTTTTGATCCAGTACATTTCTTCTCTTATAGAGATGTTAATTTTAAATGGAGAAGGCCATCTGGAACTAATAGCTATATGTAATAAATAAATATTAATACTTTTTATATATATTTGTATATCATAAGATTAAAGATTATTCTTCATTAAATTTTCTAATTTATAAGTATTCTGATTAATTATTCCATGTAATTAAATATTTATATTTGGAATTAATAGATCCTAGTATATAATCTGATTTAAATTACATTAAATTTAAATTTTCCTTTTTAAAACAACCAAGCAACTAATATGCTGAATAACCTTATATTTATTATTATTTAATGACATTATTAATCTTAGTTTTCAATTCTCCAATTTAAATACTTAATCACTATCATCATAGTAGTAGTCTAATTTTAAATAACAATTACTTCAATCTCGAACTTTCAAGTTGTTTAGTATTAACTTAAAATAATTGCAATTAAAAATAATACCAGTCATATTTCTTAAAAGACTACTATTTTCTATAAAATTTAGTTTTAATTTTTATTATTTTAATTTATCAAATTAAGACAACTATCAATTAATTAACAAATTTGATCCTTTATGTATATATGGTTTTTCTTTGCTTTTATCATCTATTTACATTTTATTATCAATATAAAATATAGTCATGTTAATTATAACTGATTTTTTTTCAATTCCTACTGAAAGTAGTTCTTAAAAGTATTTTAGTCATCTAATTCTTAAATCTTTATGATTACTTTCCACGATAATCTATCATAATCTCTACCAATATCATGATAATTAAATAAATCATTTGATATGAGTATTTAAACATCCATAAATTATAGAAAGATAAACTTTTAAATCTGGGAAAAAAATTATAGACTAAGTTTGTATTTTCAAATCATAAATGAGAATAATATATTGTTGAAATATAGTATAACTCATAATTCATCATTAAAATTATTCTAATTTGAAGAATCAGGTGCATCTATAATCCCATTGTAATTTTTTTCTAAAGATTCCAATGTTTATCTTCCTTAATAAAATTCACTTTTTTCAAGACCTTCACGAATGTAGAACCAACCAAAAGCTCGTTTAGCATAAAGTTAATCTCACTTCTTTCCTAACAACTTAAATCTACTCAAAATTGAAGCATCATTTGAGAAGAATATTCAGTTTATTTCATTTCAGCCTGTTCAAGTAATATTTAGTAATTAGATGAAGTGTATTGAAAAACTAGATGGTTTTACTGATAGAAATGTTCTAAAATTTTAAGGGTCAAATCGAACTTTCAATAAAAATTGTTCTCTTCCTTTTATCTTAATATTAAGGTTGTTGAAAGATGTTTATTAANTAAGATTAAAGATTATTCTTCATTAAATTTTCTAATTTATAAGTATTCTGATTAATTATTCCATGTAATTAAATATTTATATTTGGAATTAATAGATCCTAGTATATAATCTGATTTAAATTACATTAAATTTAAATTTTCCTTTTTAAAACAACCAAGCAACTAATATGCTGAATAACCTTATATTTATTATTATTTAATGACATTATTAATCTTAGTTTTCAATTCTCCAATTTAAATACTTAATCACTATCATCATAGTAGTAGTCTAATTTTAAATAACAATTACTTCAATCTCGAACTTTCAAGTTGTTTAGTATTAACTTAAAATAATTGCAATTAAAAATAATACCAGTCATATTTCTTAAAAGACTACTATTTTCTATAAAATTTAGTTTTAATTTTTATTATTTTAATTTATCAAATTAAGACAACTATCAATTAATTAACAAATTTGATCCTTTATGTATATATGGTTTTTCTTTGCTTTTATCATCTATTTACATTTTATTATCAATATAAAATATAGTCATGTTAATTATAACTGATTTTTTTTCAATTCCTACTGAAAGTAGTTCTTAAAAGTATTTTAGTCATCTAATTCTTAAATCTTTATGATTACTTTCCACGATAATCTATCATAATCTCTACCAATATCATGATAATTAAATAAATCATTTGATATGAGTATTTAAACATCCATAAATTATAGAAAGATAAACTTTTAAATCTGGGAAAAAAATTATAGACTAAGTTTGTATTTTCAAATCATAAATGAGAATAATATATTGTTGAAATATAGTATAACTCATAATTCATCATTAAAATTATTCTAATTTGAAGAATCAGGTGCATCTATAATCCCATTGTAATTTTTTTCTAAAGATTCCAATGTTTATCTTCCTTAATAAAATTCACTTTTTTCAAGACCTTCACGAATGTAGAACCAACCAAAAGCTCGTTTAGCATAAAGTTAATCTCACTTCTTTCCTAACAACTTAAATCTACTCAAAATTGAAGCATCATTTGAGAAGAATATTCAGTTTATTTCATTTCAGCCTGTTCAAGTAATATTTAGTAATTAGATGAAGTGTATTGAAAAACTAGATGGTTTTACTGATAGAAATGTTCTAAAATTTTAAGGGTCAAATCGAACTTTCAATAAAAATTGTTCTCTTCCTTTTATCTTAATATTAAGGTTGTTGAAAGATGTTTATTAAGTACATTAATAAAGTTTAATCTCTTTTTATGTGAGATATTTTATAAAATAAGTTTGATTTTATTTTTTTCTAGTGTAATTATTTAGTAAACTCATTTTCCCATATGAAGTAATGAAATAATACAAATCAAGATACACATATTTTAAAAATTTTTGAATATTTAATGTTGTTAAATCTTCTTCGTCCAGTGTATGAATCGTTTCTACTTATTTTCTAATAAAGTCTTAACCTTGATCAATTTAGTATAATCCGACAGCATACTTTCCTCTAGAATAGACATTAGGTGAGTCCTCTTTTTCATTATTAAATGAATGCTTCTTAAATTTGATTTATTTATTTCTTTAAACTTCATATATCATTCTTTCATCTAAATCAGCAAATAGTGCTAATTGATGATAGTTTTCATCAACTTAGTCATAAATATAATTCTTCTATGTTGTTTTATTGTGTTCCTTATCATACAATTTCCATAACATATCACCCATCATTACACTAGCCCCCAATTATGAATATGAAATGCAGATGAAATCCTATGTTAATTATTGAAATGAAAAATAATAATAAGAGAATTATTGTATTTTCATTTTGTTAAAATCAAATTTTTAATTTTACATCTATTAAATTATTTAAGAAGCAAAAATATTTACCATTTCTAAAAGAATAATAATAAATTTTGAATTTGAATTATTATAATCATGCCTTATTATAATTAGATATACAAAAGCTAAAAAAATTAATTGATATAATATGATCTAAATATATGTAACATTTTATATCATTCATTTTTAAATTTAATCAGTTTAATATCAATTTCTTAATTAGAATTATGATTCTAATAATTAGATTTCAAAATAAAATATGCTAATAGGAAGATTTTAGGTAAAGGAGTAACAATTTGTCAAACTTAAAATCCAGATAATACTTAAAAATTTTGAAATTTATTCAATCTATTCAATATTTATACTTTTTTCTTTATGAAAAATGAACTATGCTTAATCTTCTCATGATCTAATAGCTCTAGAGGTTTCAAGTAGGGTTAAATTGGCGTATGGAGCCGTAATTAGTCGATTTTACTCCCATTGTTAACTTAAGAAGGGAACAAGAGCTAACTTATATTGAACTCCATAAATAGTTGTTTGGGCTTGAGGAGTCTAATCTGGAATTTAGGTCTTACCTTGTTTCTAGCTGAATTTAGCATCAAATTAAAAGACCCTGAGTGATGACTAATTCTATGCTGGCAGTAAAAGGAGTGGTAATTGATACTTTCTTAAAGGGTATGAGAATTTTTAGGGTAAACTCATAATAGAGGATCATGATATTAATATTAGAAAGTAAAGAAATCTTTCTGGAACAAATCCACTACTTTTACAGGGTCCTTGATATTTTTTTAATGATATAAAATATTAAAAAAAGTCCAAATCTTAATTTTAAACCAAATTAAAATAGTCAAATTCTCTTTTAAAATTTCAATAATCAAAATTATATCACATTGAGTCAAAAAGTATCAGAATCATATTAAATAATAATTAATTACACAAGGGTGTTGAAGATGATAAACTAATTAAAGAAGTTGCAACAGAGATTAGTATTAGTTAAGCAAATAGATATATTTATGTTCATACATATGATAAATTTTCTACTTAAAAATTCATTAAATGCAATATGTATTTTTGCTACGAAATTAATTCCTCTCAATACTTAACATTTGGAGAAAAAAGTTATTTATAAGAATTGAAAAAAAATTTGTTTAAAATACAAGATGGATATTGAAAATAAATGATCAATCAAATGCTGCATGTTCTGAATATGTTAAACAAAAACCTTTTTTAACTTGGATTTTAATTATTTTGAGTCAAAGATTATATCGGATCTAGGAATGTTTATGGGGAAAGATTTAATAAGAGGAAGGAAAAAATGTTAGGGTTAAATCATTTTGCGGTCTATTAAATTAAATGTTTGTAATATAGAATTAAATTGATAGAACTTGGATGATATCCTTTATTTAGAGGCGGTTTTTATAAAGATTGAAGAAATGTTTCTGATATAGAAGTATAAATAAGAGAATCTAAGATAAACCTTTATTAATAAAACTAATGGATTTTAATTTACCTCTTATTCACTTTTGATTATCCTAAATACTGTGATTGAGGAGGAATTTTTAATTTGGTTATAATTAAATTATATTTTACTGTTCCTTTTAATCAGGATTTTTAAAAGTAGTAAAATGTATATTTTCTTCAATAGTCATCTATTAGATTATCACACTGAATCAGACTGATGTAATAATCTTAATTATTATTATATTTGTTATATAAATTTTATTATTCCTTAAACTATCTTAATTTTATTTCCTTTTGATCTACAATCCCAAGTGATCAATTAATCCAAGTTATCACTTAATTATCCAAAAATATTAGAATTAACATTCCTTCCATTCTTATTTATCAGAATCCATTTTAATTTTAATTATTATTATGAAAAATAACAATTCACAATAAATAGAATCACACTTTTACAAAAATCTCTTTTGTCTTCATATAGATATAGCTATGACTATCCATTTCATACACACGCATTTATTCATAATATTATGATTAGAATATGAAAAAGTTATCATTAATAAAACATATCCTATATCCAAACTAATCCACTTTTATCTTTTATGTAACATACCATTATTAATCCTATGTAGATTATTCTATAACTAAAATTTATGAATCTTAGAATAAGAAATCAATTTATTTTATTGCTCATTTAAGCTTAATGAATATATTTAATCTTAATGATCAGATATTTTATGTTAACAAAACCATTATTTCTATTTAATCCAAAAATTAATTGTGCAATCATGACTACATGATATAATGAGATTATCATTATTATTTACTAATAAACAATCTCTAGGATCTAAATGTCCAATTAATTTTTAAAACAATTCCATTAATGATATCCAATCTCTTACCATATTATAATTGCATTTTCACCACCTCCAGATACAAAATTATTTGTATTCATGAACCTTAAAATTAGCACTCTTCTTATGTCCACTTAACAATTAAATTTGATCCAGTTTACCTTAATTATGTTCAAATACTTTAATGTTCTCATTAAAATCAGCAACCACAATTTATTATTAAAAGCAACAGCACAACACCAATAATTTTATTTAATTGAATTTTAATCAATGAGTTCATAATTGCCTTTTAATTCTTTTTTTTCTTCTTTTTATAATTCTACATTGATATATATTTTCTCCTCATCCTTCTTTTATTTTATTTCAACATCTTCCTTTTATCTGATCCTCCTTTTTTATTTTTCATTATCCTATTTTTTTTAATTTCTTGATTCTATTAAGCCAATTCTTATTCCTCATTCTTAAATTCATTTTACAGTATAGAATTATCTAATGATTATGAATCCAAGGTATCTGACATGTCTATTGTTAAATTTTAATATTGATAATAAGTATATATTAGATAAAATTGAAATCATATATTTTAAAAGAAATTGTACCATTGACAATATCTCTTTGTTTTTTTTAGAAGATTAATATTTTATAAAATAGTTCTTTTTAAAAACTTAAATATAATAATTCGAAACTAACCAAGGCCCTGCTATGTTCTTTAACATCAACAATCTTTTCCAATATCATTAAATATTTATGAATATCTCAACAACTAATACTAATGCTATAGTATGATATTAAATATTTATAATTAAATGTTTTGAGTATCTCTAATTTTGCAATTATTATCTATAAGGGATCTGGAGAATATTAGTTATAGCATTAATTGTTTAGATTTACTACATATAGCTTCTTTTTTTAGCAAATGTCGTTTCATCTTTGTTTCTATATCATCTTAGTTTTGGAAATGAAAATGAATTTTTCTCCTTTAAGATCTAAATAATGATTAATAACTTCTTTATATTAATTAATTTTTAATGGATCTTTTCTTAAAAAAATGATGAATCTCAAATGCATTAAATTTCTTTTTAAAGTTTGACTTGGATATATAAAATGAAGTGATATATGATATCACTAAATAGAAGACTTATTTTGTAAATTTAGTTTGGTCTTTCACAAAGTTTGGAGGTTCTAATTTAAATAAAAATTAAATGATAATTTTAAATTGTTTATCGGATTATATATGTTTATGAATGATCAAATATATTTTGATCTGGTCCTGAAATGATGGATTATTGATATTTATGAACCAATGAACCAATATTTCTTAGCTAAAGAATATAAGTGATCCTATATTTTATAGGAAAGAGTTAAGGAAAAAGAGCTAAGTTTTAAATTCTTGAATCACCTTTACAGAATATATTGAATTATTATGCTTGTTAAAAAAAAGGTTATCCTATCTTTCATGTGGAGAGGAATAAATTGATTTAGTTATACATTTAATAGCATTAATAGAAAACTCATATTCAAAATCTTTAAAATGGAAAAATAACTTACAAGTTAAGTTCCTAAAATGTATATACGTGTTTCTTCATTAATCAAATTTCTTTCAAAATAATTAATTACCTTTCTAATAAGTTTGAGATTAAATCTGTTAGTAGAGTTCACCTTGATGGAAACAAACTTAACCTGTAAAAAATATTCTTTACCAGGATAATATGTGATTAGATAATTTTTTGAAGCTATCTAAAAATATTGTAAAAATAGAGAAAATGAATCAATAAAAATAAACATCTATAAAATAACTTAATTTTAAATGATGATCTCCCGTAAAAATTGAGTGAATAAAATGGCTCGAGTGATCTTTTCAAATTAAAGTTAATAAAACAATATTTCTTCAAAAATACAAACAAACAAAAATAAATATATAAACTTTGGTGATATAATTAAATCATTCTATAAATTGCTTGGTACCTAGGTCAGTTTAATTTTATAATCGTCTTAAATTGCCCCTTTTGAGTTGCCGATTCTGATTTTTTTCAAGACTTACTAATAATTATAACTCATAGCATTTTTTAATAATGATTCCAATAAATATTATCTAATCTATCAATCTTTGAGAATTTATAAACTTAACCATGTTACAAATATTAACGAATAATTAATATAAATAATATAATCTTATTAAGAAGAAGAATAATAAAAATTATTAATCTATCAATCGCTTTTAATAATTAAAAATAATAGAATCGTTATATTTGGTGTTGAATGAATATTTTAAAATCTTTTAATTTGAATATATTTTGTTAAATAAGAATATTATTTATTAAAATATTATATTATTATAGAGGTATATCCTATTAATAATTTTGATGAATTAGTAAAAGCCATTTGCTTTGACTTATTTTTGTTTAGTAAATATAAATTAAATTAAACAATCTGTTAAGCACACAATAAATTCTGGAAAATCTATTAGATTAAGAGATTTGATATTTTGGATTTTAAATATTAATTTTACATATTTTATTAGTAATCCAACTTTATTAGTATTCATTTAGGGTAATTATAGGTTTTATTCCTAAAACTGTTGGAAAAAGTGTAATTGTTAGAAGTAAATGGAATTAAACATAATTATTTTGATTTTAATAGAATTTGGTTCCATCTAACTTAAAACAGTCAATATCAAATTCTCATCTATTAATTTTTAGATTATATTAGTTGTAAATAAATTAATAGAGATTATTCAATTTATTTTACTGGATATGACTGACCCTTTTATGAAAAAATAAATGATTCAGACATCACAGAAGCATCAGAGTAAATTAAAGAAATTATAAAATTTATTATCACTTTATGTTTTGATCAAATTATTTTCTACGAACTAACAAGAATACAAGAAATTCCTATTATTAAGAGTTATTGTAGCCAATAGTAAATTTATGCTAACCAAATTAAACTACCCATAAATAATATAAATTATTCAAAAAAATCTATGCGCATTTCATTATTAAGAAAATATTAATAATTATTGCTTCTTATGTTTAAATATAGATGATAATATAAATGATTATCGTTAATCTCCAAGATATAAAATAATTCCTAAAATTAACAAAGATTTAGAAAAATTATTGAATTTGGAAATGCATTTGATAAGTTGTAATTAAATCTATATTGTAATATTATATTCCAATATTTGGTTAATTCCAAATTTAGTTAAAGAAAAAATAAAAATTCCTTCAAATATTAAGTAGTTGATGATCCAACTTATTTAGGAACATTTTTAAGCTTTTATATTATATTTTCAGAAATCAATAGTTCATATGATATTATTATCCTTATCTTAGAATTTATCCATATCACACTGCTTATTATTTAATTTCTTATAATATTTATATAAATAAAACAATTCAAAAATAATATTTGTAAATTGAAAACTAATATTTAATAATTTTAATCTATTTTTATAACTTAGCAATTTTAAATATTTTTATATGCTTATTTATCCTTATTCATAATATATTATATTTTTTTTCTCCCAATTTAAGAATATTATTTTTGAATTTAATTTCATTTTCGATTTGCATTCAAGTTTTGACAACTATATTTTTAAAATACTCAGAAATTATCACTAAAATAAGATGTGATTATTGTAGATTTAAGTCATTAAATGGGTTCAAAGTTTGTTTATAAAGAAATAGAATAAGATAATTAAAGAAAATCAAATGGATTATAAATAAAACGTTTTGGTTCTATCGAAATAGAAAATTAGTCCCTCTGTTTAGAACAATTAGAATTGTTGATTCAATAATAATGATTATTGAGAATTATATAATTATATTTAAATAAAATAATACATATAAAATTAAATTTATTTAATTTAAAATTTGATGTTATTTCATAAATTTAATGAAATAAAAAATAATAATTAAGGATTTCAATTTCTCTTAATCCAATATTATAAGTAAAGAAGAAAGGACATAAGTTTACCACACTTATACTATGCATTTTTCTAAAGGTAATTTAAGAATAATTCAGAATTGAATTTTTATAAATTTAAATTTAATTGTTTGCAAATCGTATTTTAATTTAAAAATTATAACTCTAAATCATGTTTTAAACCTAACTTTTTTTAATTAAGGCCTGAAAAATATTTATTACCCTTAATTATTAAATCCCATTAAAAAGTAAAAGCATTATTGAATAATTGATGAATTATAATGTTTTAATCTCAAACATACTCATTCATATACATAATAATAGACATCATTGATTTCCTGCTATATTATTTAGTTGGCTTAGGTGTCTTATCTAATTAATATAATAGTGAGGGTTTTTAATCTCATTTTTGGAAATGAAAAATTTAATTATTTTGAATCTTTGATTCCTTTTTTCTTTTTCTTCAATCATTAAGTTATTTAATATAAATTTTTGGTAATTTCTTAATGAATTATTTGAACTGTAAATTTTACTGGTGGATGAGTTATGAAAGAATTCGACTGATAAAACCTTAGAAGAGTAATGAAGGATATTGTTGTCTTGATATTGATTTTTGGTTCAAATCATATTGAAGGTAAAGTGATTTATACTTCAGACTCTTTAAATAGCTTTAGCATCAA